CAGGGGGTTGGGCTGGGTGACCCCCAGAGGTCCCTGCCAACCCCTGCCATGCTGGGATTCTGTGATTCTGTGAAACATCACGCTCCGAACAAAACCCAGCGCAGTCAGCAGAGCTGAGCGACAGATCTGAAGGATGAGCAGAATAATACTTCATTCCAGCATTCTTATGCGTTAGAGTAGACCCAAAACAGCTACTCAGCAATCAGGGACCTACTGCACTGAGTGGTATTAAGTAAACTCTCCCTCAAAGGCTTTGGGTCTTGACATCAAAGACCCTCAGCCCCAACGGTTCTTAGTAAAGGCAACCACGTCTCATACACCCCCCATTACCCGCCCCTCTCCATCCAGAAGCCTCGTCATGTTTAAGTTCTCATTTAAAAAGAAGCTATAAGGTTAAACTAGAGTGAAAAAAGGAGAGAAACCTCTTGCGGCTTCACTGGAGCCAGCAGAGGGAAGGGACAGACAAGCCGTTCGCCAGTTGTTTATTTAAGACCTTCCTGGAGGCGCAAACAAAGTCCTGCCACAGAACCAGCTCCGCCGCCAAACGCAGAGACACAGAATCCCAGAAACCCAGAATCCCAGCATGGCAGGGGTTTGAGGGGAACACTGTGGGTCACCCAGTCCAACCACCTGCCCAAGCAGGGTCACCCAGAGCAGGCTGCACAGCACCGTGTCCAGGCGGGGCTTGAATATCTCCAGAGCAGACTCTCTTCAGTAGCTCCTCATCTTTCTTGAACTGGGGAGCCTAAAACATGCTTCAGCTAAGCACGGCACGTGAGGAGCTGGCTGCCAAAATCAGGGAGAGTCCTTTTTTTCTAACTCTCGAGGTCCGTTCCTGCAGCGGTCTCGCTCTCCCAGCGCGTCCAAATGCCCGGTTGCGGTTTGCTGATCTCCTCCAGCCAAGCCAAATGCCCCCAGGGCAGCATCTCCCCCTCCACAAACTCAGCTAAAGGACAAACAAATGTGTTAAAGGCTTCACAAGGGGGAATCGGTGAAAGATAAAGATGTAATAGCTTAGATCTGTCTCTTGCAAGGAATTTAATGACTACAGCTGTTCAGCATCATTAACCAGTTTGTCTTGGAGGTTTAGCCCTCTACGCCGGCCCCAGCCCTGCCACGGAGCAACACCTCGGGTACCCCCCAGCTCCCGACGGGGCTGCCGCAGGAGCCGAGCCTTCCTCCCTTCCCGGGGAGCAGGGCCGGGGCGGTGAGGAGTCATTAAAAGCTTTTACTACCTGTTGTTCTCTAGCAAAGCGATTCTGGAGGAGCGCCAGGCAGAGCGAGCGCGCTCTCTGCGAAGAGCAGCCTGCTAAAAACAGATCCCTCGCCCTGCCCTCCCGGGGACAGCCTCGCCAGCATCCCTTCCCGCCCGGCTTTAGCCTGGGAGGGGGGAAAAACCCTGAGATTTTAATGGATTTAGAAAGAAGCAAGACTTGGTGGAGGTGCAATGGCTTAACCCTTGCCTGAGCAGCACTGGCTCCTGAGAAGTCTGGGCTCCGCGCGAAGGGAGATGCGTCCTGAGCCAACCCCCCCGGCCAGCACAGCCCCAAGGACGGCTCAGCACTGACCAGGCGCTGCTGATTTTTCATTTCATAGAATCATAGAGTGGTTTGGGTTGGAAGAGACCTTAAAGATCATCTAGTTCCAACCCCCCTACCATGAGCAGGGACACCTTCCATTTCAACAAACTCAGCTTTAGCCTCTACCCGTGCTCCTTCCACAGCATCCCTCCTAACTTCGTCAGGTCTCTGGGTACCCTGTTCTCTTCCTAAACCATTCCAAAATCCCATCCCCTGCCCCGTGCCGAGCCTCTGGGCAGCCCCAGGAGCTGTCACTGCTGCCTCCAGGCAGGGACCCCCCCACCAGCTCTCCAGACCCCACCCGAGTTCCACGGGAAGGACAAGCAGCATTCTGCATCTGCACAGACCCCAGAAAGGTGGGTCCTGCCCGCTGTGCGGCTGGAGGAGACACACCAGCACGGACACCCACGTCTGTGGGAGGAGAACACACGGACACCAGCATCAGCCCGGGGTGTAGACCCTCTCCCAGCTCAGCGCTGGAACGCGCACCAGCTACCAGACATCCCGTGGGACAGGCGTGTGGTGGCACTTGCTCTCGACCCAGTGTGAACAGCTGAGGAGGCAACAGCTCCTCTCCCATTGGCATCTGAACTGGATTTAAAGCAAGACAGAACTGTATGGGTTCTTATACACATTGCTCCCAACAAGACCGTTGACCTCACCACCGTGCACGCTGGCTGCCCTTGTCACCACTCAGAGTCATAGAATGGTGGGGGTTGGCAGGGACCTCTGTGGGTCACCCAGCCCAACCCCCTGCCCAAGCAGGGTCACCCACAGCAGGCTGCACAGCACCGCGGCCAGGAGGGTCTGGAATATCTCCAGAGAAGGAGACTCCACAGCCTCCCTGGGCAGCCTGGGCCAGGGCTCCATCACCCTCAGAGGGAAGAAGTTCTTCCTCGGGTTCAGCTGGAACTTCCTGTGCTTCAGTTTGTGCCCATTGCCCCTTGTCCTGTCGCTGGGCACCACTGGAAAGAGTCTGGCCCCCACCCCACCCTGCTCTCTGCAACGTGAGCGTCTCGCTCTTCCCCCTCCACGCGCTCCGATTTCCCAACGCCAGCCGACAGCAAGCAGCGGGCCCCGTGCTGCGACCGTTTGCCTGCGCTGTTGGGAAACACCAGCTCGGGCAGCTGAGCAAACACAGCCCCTCGTAACGAGGGCGACTGCCGCAACGCCCAGCGCAGGCGAAGAGACCTCGGGTGACTGAGAGCAGAAGAAAAGCAAGTAGGGTTTGATGGCAAACAGCTTCCAAGGGCTCCGACTGCCCGGCAGCAGCCCCCGTCCCCCCACCACGTCCCACACAGGGTTGGGGACCCCTGAGCAGGGCCAGGACAGGGGCAGGCAGAGCACGTGAAGGCGGGGGGGCCCAGGCTTTCAGCTGCCTGACACCGCTGCTGTTCCATTTATTTGTTCTTTACTCTAATGCATCCATTTGCACTGGAGGGGACGCACCGTAATATCGAGCAATTTTCTTCAGAGCTGAGGAGGCGTTTGGCTGTACCTGTCCCCAGGGGCTCAAAGCACGAGGGAGCAGGGCAAGGGCAGGGTCCTGCACCTGGGCAGGAACAACCCCAGGCACCAGTACAGGCTGGGGCTGAGCTGCTGGGGAGCAGCTCTGCAGAGAGGGACTGGGAGTGCTGGGGGACGACAGGGTGACCATGAGCCAGCAGCGTGCCCTGGCTGCCAAGAAGG